CTGTTTTGCATGCACGCTTGTTTCGCAAACCCGGCATCAAAGACGCCCGCCTTTGTCCCCTAACCCCTGCCCTGCCCCAACCCCTTCGATTTGGCGAGGGGCACCGCTGCGCGTCGACGATGTCGGATTCCGGACTAACACGGGCCAAATCAGACCAGCAGCCGCAGGTCGGGCCTGACGACGACTTCTCCCGCGTCTCTGATTCGGAAACCGAAGCACGCTCGCCCTCCAAAACCACCGCCGACTTCCTGTTCTCGGCCTTTTCTGGCATCAGGAAGATCAAGCACAACACGGCCTCTCCTCTCGCTCCCCGCCGGCCCTCGGAGCCATTTCTTTCTGCCTTGGAGAGACATCCCGACTCGGCCGCTCTCCCCGCCAGAGGCTCCCGTCCGAACCCAGCAGCGCATCGTGCACGGAGTTTGAGTCTCCAGCATAGCCTCTTCAAGTCACAGCCCAAGCCGCCGCCGCCCCAATCGTTGGCTGCCAGCCCCCCGATTCCTTTGGCACCGTCGCCGGTTCAGCAGGAGCAGGGCCGTCTGGCCACGATCCTCGACAAGGGGACGCACGAAACGCACAGTCACCCTAGCACCATGGACGCATCCGCCGACATGAGCGGCGGGCCTTATGCGAGAGGGCGGATGGGCCACACGCAAGACATGAGCATCAACAGCAGCCACGGCAGTTTCGCGGGCGCGTCGCGGCAGGACGGCCAGGATGACCGTGGCGATGATCTAACACCCAAGAGCAATGCGCCGCTGTCGGCTGGGCCTTCGCCCGGCATCGCCCAGTCAAGAGCCCAGGGTGGCGGGGTTCCTGTCGGGACGGCCAGCTCGGCGACCCCGTCGGCGCACTTGTCTGGCCTGATGTGTAACGTACACCGGACAACGGGAAGGGAGCCGCATCCTCTCGTCGGGGCGACAACCACCGTTCTGGGCGACAAGCTGTACGTGTTTGGAGGGAGGATACTGTCGAGGAGCAGGCCTGCGCCCCTGACGGCCGATCTGTACGAGCTGGACCTGATTCGCCGGCACTGGACGAAGCTGGACACGTCAGGCGAGATCCCGCCACCCCGTTACTTTCACTCCATGTGCGCGCTGGGCGACACAAAGCTGGTCTGCTACGGCGGCATGTCGCCGACAACGAGCCAGAACAACAACCCCGTATCACAAGACCAGCAGCCCGAGGTCACGGTCATGTCGGATATCTACATCTACGACGTGGCGACCAAGAAATGGACCTTCATCCCCACTCAAGACGCCCCCCAGGGCCGCTATGCGCATTGCGCATGCATCCTCCCGTCCTCGGCATCGTTTGCCTCGCACCGCGCGCCGCTCTCCGCGTTGCAGCACAACCCTTCCACGGGCAACCCGAACGAGGGCCGGATCGGCATCAACATAGACGGCTCGGGCGGCGCCGAGATGATTGTTGTCGGAGGCCAGGACGCGTCGAACCATTACATTGAGCAGATCAGCGTCTTCAACCTGCGCAGCCTCAAGTGGGTCTCAACCCAGGCGCTGGGCAAAAGCTGCGGTGCCTATCGCAGCGTCGTTGCGCCTCTGCCCCCGTCAGTCACCGCCAAGCTTGGCAGGACGTTCCCGAACAGCGCACGGCAGGACGCGGGGGGGATCAGCCAGGAGGCCCGAGAGCCCGGGTCCAGCATGCTTATATACAGCAACTACAACTTTCTGGACGTCAAGCTCGAACTGCAGGTCAGGACCCCAGAGGGCCACCTCTCGGAACGCGCCATGAGCGGCACGTATAGCCCGCCGGGGCTGCGTTTCCCCAATGGCGGGATCATCGATACTCATTTTGTCGTGAGCGGCACATACCTCACATCTTCGAAACGGGAATACGCGCTCTGGGCGTTGGACCTGCGCACCCTGACCTGGAGCCGCATCGACGCCGGCGGCGCCGTGTTCAGCCAGGGAAGCTGGAACCGCGGTGTGCTGTGGAACAGGCGGAATACCTTTGTCGTGCTGGGCAACCGGAAGCGGAGCCTCGTCGATGACTACAATCACCGGAGGATCAACTTTGGCAATGTCTGCATGGTCGAGCTCGAGGCCTTTGGCTTCTACGACAACCCCCGGAAAACGAACCCCATGAGCGGCTTCGTCAGCGCCAGCAGCCCGTACACCGGCCCGGGGCTCAGTCTGGCTCGGAAGGCGGGCTTCACCGCGGGGGGCAGGCATCACAGCCGCGCCGCGGAGGAGCTGGGCGAGAAGGCCCTCGCGCTGAGGGAGCTGGCCGACATGGACATCCTCTGCATCGGCGGCGAGCGGATACCCATCAACTCGAGGATCGTGGCGAGGAGGTGGGGCCCCTATTTCGTCCAGCTGCTGAGGGAGGGCACGGCCACGCATGACGGCAGCGACGCGGTGACGCTCCGGTCGCACTCGATGTCGGCCGCCGGGAGCACGGTCCGGAGCTCCAGCATCACCATCACGCCGGGGAACAGGGCCACGTTCGAGAGCCAGATGTCCATGGGCGGATCGACCCTGTACTCGAACGCATCCGGGAGCGCGCCGGTCGACCCCGCCGCCATCAACACGGCCCCCACGCCGCGCAGCCTCCCGCCCAACAGCCGGCCGCGCTGCCTCTACCTCCCCCACACCTACCTCACCGTCCAGGCCGTCCTCCACTTCCTCTACACGTCGTCCCTCCCGGCCGCCTCGTCGCCGCTCTGCACCCCGCAGATCCTCTGCTCCCTCCTGCAGATCGCCCGCCCCTACCGCGTCGACGGTCTCCTCGAGGCCGTCGTCGAGCGCCTGCACGGCCTCCTCGACAGCCGCAACGCCGCCGCCGTCTTCAACGCCACCGCCATGGCGGCCGGCGGCGGCCGCGGCATCGACGGCACGCTGAACCCCAACTTCTTCCCCGCCGCGGCCGGCGCCGGCGGCCTCGACGGCCTGATGGGCGTTGCGGGGCCCCATCCCCTCCACGGCCGTGGCCAGCCCAATGGCGGCGGCGGCGGCGGCAGTGTTGCGGGCGGGAGCGAGGCGAGCGTGAGCACGGCGACGACGGGCACGGGCGCGGGCGCGGGCGCGGACAGATTCGGGCTGACGATCAGCACGGCGGCGCTGGGCGGCGGCGCGCAGCCGGCCAGCGGCGACGAGCTGAGCGCGACGGGGAGCGCGCACAGCGGGAGCGAGTGGAGCAGCGAGCGGGGGGATAGCACGAGTGATTGGGAGCGGGGCGGTGGTGGTGGTGGTGGTGGTGGTGGCGGTGGTAGTGTTGCGGGCGTGCGCGAGGTCTGGCAGGGGGATCTGAGCAGTGTGATTGGCTTGCAGAAGAGGGGGCTGAGGGGGCTGATGGAGGGCCGCAGGATGAGGGAGCGGACGGGCACGGGCGCGAGTGCGAGTGCGGGCGCCCCTGCTGCCTCTGCTGTGGCGGTGGCGGGGGCGGGGGCGGGGGCGGGGGGCGCGTACGGGGGGATGCAGGGGCGGGTCGGGTTGGGGATTGCGAGTTCGTAGGAGGGCCCAGTTGGAATGGGCTTTTCTGGGTATTAGTGGCATTGGGAGGGGGCATGTTGAATGTTGAAACGATGTTGACGAGACCATGGGGGGCATTTGTTGTGTTGGTGAGGTGGATATGTGATTGGTTGGATAGAGGAGTTGTCTTGCGAGTCGTGTTGCATGTCGCGTCTCATAACGGCCGCATACGTGGGAGGATGGATGGCTTTCTTGGGGGAGATACCTTTCTGCTTACGAGCACCCGGCGTAGTTTGAGGACAGAGTAGTTGTAGTATTGTCAACTATGTCAACCAGTCCCTCCCCCGACTCTACTACTTCGGTCCTCCGAGAGGCTTTTGTCTAATGAAGACGGCCAGAGAAAAAGCCAAGGTAGAAAACACAAAGGAGACGCCTGGGGGGTTTCGTGGCTGCCCCGGCCAGGGTAAAGCCCGTGATCAACCAGGTCGAGTTCTCGAAGCTGTTGAACTCGGAGGCAATGACGGGGTGTGTGGCCATGAGGATGGAGCTGTCGGCGTTGGCAACGAAAATTCCTGTGCGCGTTAGCAGACCCGACCTTGAAATCTTGCGTGTATCTTACCCGTCGAGGATGGGGGGGGGGAAGGCACGAACCGATCAGCAGGACACCGATGATGCGCACTGCGCTGCTCTTTCCGATGCTCCCGTCTTCGGCCCTTCCACTGCCCCGACTTTCCCCATCGTCACAGTTTTGGAAGACTGTTGTGCCGTTCTCACCAGCTACCTCCCCAATGGAAACAGATGTCCTGCTCTGCCCGTTGGCGTCTCCGGACTTGCTGAGGAGCAGCGACTGCTCGGTAGCATGTGTGCCCTCTGCGTCACGTCCTGCTTGAACCATCTTCAGTTCCAACACAGACAATTCCAACTCAACCCAATGGCATCGACAGAGAGCGACAGAGTTTTCAGAAACGGACCAAGATATTGATTGCCGAGTCTCGATTTCACCATCCCCCCCATAGGCACCACTAGCCCAACCCTGGTCCAGACGGACCCCTACCAGATCAACAACCTCCTCCACGCCGACAGCCAGCCCCCCCCGCCACCCTCCTCGGCGTCCCCTTTGACAAGGTCATCGCCCGCCTCGACTCGCTGCTCCTTGTGCTCAAGTCGTGCAGGGGCCAGACGTGCATCCGCCCCTGGCACCCGGCCGGCAACGTGCAGAACCTGCACGGCGCGCTGGGCAGCAAGTCTGATGTCTTTTACGAGAATCAGCAGAGGAAAGTCGCTGGTTCCGAGGGGCCCCAGTTTGACACGGACGGGTTGGTGTATCGGCAGGGTGTGGGGTGTTGTGAGTGGGTGTGAGCCAGTTGCGAGTGTGTGATGTGGAAAACAAGACGGTATAACACAAATCTGTTGCCCATTACCTGCAGTGAGCACCTTCTGGGTTAGCTCGTGGCTGAAGATTGAACGAAAGAAAACGAGACATGGGAATGGGCAATGGAATAGGTAGGGGCAAAGGAAAAATGCAAGGATAAGGGGCAACACAAAAGGGGCAGGTGAAAAAGACAAAAGGATTGATCGACCCAGGGATCGAACCTGGCACCTTCTCGGTGGAGAATGCTCCATTTGATTCAGCTTGTGAACGAGACGTGATAACCACTACACCAGCCGACCTGTCGTTGTTGTTGTTGCAGGAGCGTCCGGAATCCGCCGTCGTAACCGGCCGTCGCCCGCACCCGAGGGTGGCCTGCATGGCATGGTGCTGGCGACAACAAGCATTCATGCACGGTATGTACTATGTATCGGGTATGCCAGTTTGAGGATTATGGATGTGACTGTCATCGATGTAACACTGGAAGTACTACGGATACATTGGATGCTGCTTGCAATCCTGTCCTCCAGGTTGTGTCGCTGCATTCTTGTGCCCTGAAGTGGCTGGCACCAGTCCTGTGACGAAGGGTCTTGCTAAGTGTCTTTTTGACCAATGGGTTGCCTGTCACTGTTCTTGAGGCGATTCTCGTTGCCGGGCCTCTGGTGTGCCATTCTAGCTCCCAGAGGACCTTGTATCGGAATGCTGCTGCTGCTGCTGTTGGACGGTTTACTCTCACAACAGAAGTACTCTCTTCGACATGGTTAGTAGAAACAAGCAATGCATCAAGGAGCCTAGGTAGTGTTGCGAGAGTCATGGATCCTCGCCCTCTATTTTCCCCACCGGCCCCCTCTATCCTATCCAACTCACAAGAAAATACCACATATTCTGGGTATTTACGCCGCTATGCACCCCGCCTAAAAAAACACACGACCAACCGACAAGTTCAAGAACCGTCCCTAGAGCTTCGCCTTGTCACCGGCCGCCTCCAGCAACCTGTTGCCCAGCGCGGCCATCTCGAACTTCCGCACTTTCCCGCTGCCCGTCAGGGGCGGCGCACTCGGCACGCCATCCTGTCCGAGCCAAAAGACGTGCGTGGGCGCCTTGTGCTTGCCGAGCTGGCGCCGGACCCATTCGCGGATCTCGTCGACATCCGGCCGCTGCTTGTGGCTGCTGTCAAGGTCGAGGAATACGCCGACCACCTCGCCGTAGTGGGCATCTTTGAGGCCGACGACGACGGCGGTGGCGATGGCTGGGTGGGCGACGAGACGCTCTTCAATCTCGAGGGGGTAGATGTTTTCGCCGCCTGATGTGGGGGGGGGATGGGTGAGTATCTATCCGGCTATCGGAAACATAAGAGGGCGGGGGAAAACTGACCTCGGATGATGATGTCTTTGAACCTCCCCGTGATAGAGCAGTACCCACGTTCGTCAAACACGGCCTCGTCTCCCGTGTGTAGCCACAAGGCGCCCGCCTCGTCGCGCACCATGACCTCGTTCGTCTTCTCCGAGTTGTTCCAGTAGCCGGCTTGCAACTGATAGCCGCCGATGCAGAGCTCGCCGCGCGTGCCGATGGGCACAATCTGGCCGTCCCGGTCCACAATCTTGGCCGTGGCGTGCGGCATCAGGGGGCCGACCGTGGTCAGCCGGGTGTGGATGGGATCGTCGGTGAAGGCGTTGAAGCAGGTCGGCGAGGCCTCGGTCAGGCCGTAGCTGGACGTGAACTCGCTCATGCCCAGGCGTGACACGAGCAGCTCCATGAGGTAGCGCGGCACGGGGGCGCCGGCGATGATGCCGGTCCGCAGCCGCAGATCCGAGGCCTTGAGGTCCTTGGCTTCGGGCAGGGCGAGAAGGCTGTCGAACATGGCGGGGACGCCGTGGACGGCGGTGCATTGCTCGCTGGCAATGGCGCGGAGCGTTGCGGGGGCGTCGAAAACCTCGGCGGGGTAGACGATCTTGGCCCCGTGGGTGACGACGGCCATGAGGCCGAGGACGAGACCGAAGCAGTGGAAGAGCGGAGGCGGGCAGCAGAGGATGTCGTCGGGGGTGAGGCGCATGCGGTCACCGATAAAGCGGGAGTTGTTGACGATATTGCTGGAAAGGAGGTCAGTTGGGCCCCAGTTGGCACGGCCGTTGGACTGGAACTCACTGGTGGCTGAGCATGGCGGCCTTGGGGAGACCGGTGGTGCCGCTGGTGAATTGGAGGTTGCACACCATGTGAGGCAGCACCTTGTGCTCGGCCTGATGGAGGCGGTCTGGGCTGATCCGGGCGCCTTGTGATAGCAAATCTGCGTAGGTGCTATGCCCCTCCGATTCACCCCTGAGAATCACGACTTTTGGCCCTGTGGCCCTTGCGGAGAGTTGGCTGAGCAAAGGGTCTTGGTCGAGCCGGCCAATCCTTTTGGTTGTGAAGAACACTTTGCATTCTGGAGCCGATAATCAGCATTCCCGCGGGGGTGTGTTGTGGCGGGGGGACCACAACGAGAGGCATACCGGAAAAGTCCAGGCCGTACTGGGCCTCGGTCGGGGTATAAGTGTTGTTGAGGATGACCAGGATGGCGCCTATTCTGGTCGCGGCAAAGAAGACCGAAGCATACTGCTCACAGTTGCCGGCCATGATGCCCACCCTATCGCCCACGCCGATGCCCATCTCCAACAGGGCGGCCGCCAGCAGCCGGCTGTGATGATTGAGCTCGTTGTATGTCCATCTGGCGCCCGTCCATGGGATCACCAGTCCTTCTCGCGTTCCGTGGTGTAGACATTGCAGGTTGAGCAGTTCGCCAAGTGTCAGGTCAACCAGGGGCGTGTCGGTTGGGCCGTGGAGGAGTGATGGCCTCTGGGGTTGGGGAAGGACAAGGCCGTCTCCGGTAGGCCGTTGCACGGGAACCCGAACCGACATTCTTGTCAAGGAGGGTCTGACGAGCCCAAGTACCACGAGATAGAAGTCTTTGCGTGGCGTATCGTCTCTTCGCGCGGCGTACAGGATCGCAGAGTTGCCTCGTGAGAGCGCAGAACGGGCAACAGCAAACTGCTTTGCATAGAGTGTAACCGGAGGAGCTGGGAACCACAGGTCCGGAGCCGAACGGACGAGTTACATATGACGGAGGGCCATGCGGCTGGGCTAAGGGGGCCCATCCATCTCCACTGTGAGTCCAGGGCGGGCTCGCCGCTCGACACAGGGGTCGGGGAGCGGACTTGGTTGATCTGATGATTGATCTGATAAGATGGATTCCGACAGTCTTCCATATTTTCTCGCCATTGGCCAGCGACGGCGGCGAACCATGGCCGTTTCGTCAGGGTATCCATCGTGACCCCCTCCCCTAGACCATGGCCATTTCCGCGAGAATACGGCCGCTGCGTCGTATTTCCTGGTTCCGAGCGACGGCATTGTCCCTCGGCTGACGGCGGATGGGGGTGGATGAGAGAAGGAGGGGCCCACTCGCCCACACATTGCGCAGGATGTGAACTGCTGATCAGAGATTTTTCTTGCCGCCCGCCGGCCCTGGAGGGAGGGGAGGGGAAAGAGCAACTGGGCCGGCCGAGTCGCTAGTGGACAAGCGGCCACGATCTGATAAGCGGAAGTGGTGTGATGGGTGGGTCGCGCTTGCCTCCCCAGCCCGTTCAAAATGCCTCAAGTTCTGCACGGGATCTGATAAGATTATTCATGCCAAGTCGCCGTTCCCCACGCCCCCCGACGCGACGCCGCCAGCTTCTTCTTCCAGACGCCGCAATGGGTGCGGTCGGTGCGCTCCGATGCATCCCAATAGCCATCCCGGAACGCCTGATGGGTGCCGGTCTGCGTTTGTCGTATAGGGCACATAACCGACCTCGAGCCGACCGCGGGAAGCCCGTCCCACGAATAATCAAGGTCCCCTCCGAGATCGGGTGCCATGAGACCGGGGTGGGCGGAAAAGCGCGAGATCCGCTCTTTGGCGTCCGAGTAAAGTTATCAGATCCGAATCCCAGCACGCCATCCCAACCGAGCCCCTGTCAAGATCGGCTCGCCCATTGGTCGTCTCCTCGGGACTCTGACTCAAAACACTCGCGAGAGGCTGGACGGCGCTCGCCAGACTCGGAGAGTCGAGAATGTCCCGCCAGAGCAGGGATGGGGAGGAGCCGGAGTGTCGGTTCTGCGCTCTGCGAGTGCCGAAGTGGATGCCATGATGCCTGCATTCTGGAGACCGACAGCTCTGAGCTTTCCACCAGCCAGGTGAGCTGCAGACATCGGCGGCGAGGCTTCGCACTTTGCGTCTTGTGTCCGGACAACCAGTTACCATGGCGTCATCGGCAAAAACACCACGGCAGCTCGCCAACTACGCGGCCTCTTCAGATCCCGTTCTGAAGCTGCCACACCCGTACCAGACAGCATATCTCGTCAACAAGACCGACGGCGCCCCGGTTCGCTACCAGCTCACGCCCCTCCATGCCGAGCCCAGCAGCACGCCGCTCCCGGCGCCCCTCCACAACCCCTCGGTCTTCTTTTCCGACTTCCAGGATCTCAAGTCGAGCGACCGGCCAAACAGCTCCGACAACACCCCGTGGGCCAGGGCGCGACGGTCCCCCGCCGTGACCGTCAACTGGGAGGGCGCGGCGGGCCCGACCGTCGGCCAGCTCTGGCTCATCACCTACGCCGTCTTCACCGCGCGCCCCGGCGAAGAGGCCTTCCGCCTCGCGACCTCGGGCCCCGGCGGCAGCCCGGACCGGCTCGCCCACCAGCTCAAAGCAGTCGGGCTCGCCATCGACCACCCGGCCCCCGCCGCGCCCGCCACCGACGCCGCCGCGCCCACGCCGGAGCTCGTCATCTCGCGCAGCGCCTTCTGGCAGGGCGCCGGCTCCCCCTTCGGCCCGCGGCCGGCCTGGGCGCCCGAGGACCAGAACCAGAACCAGAACCAGGACCAGGACCAGGACCAGGACCAGGACCAGGACCAGGACCCGAACCTCGCGCTCTACCCGCTCCCGCCGCCGGAGCACGTCATGACGGCGGCCGCCGTCACACCGCACTGGCACCCGCGGCGGCGCGCCAAGCCGCAGCCGGGCGCGGTCCTCTACAGCCGGTGGATCCCGCACCTGCGCGAGACGTTCAGCATGGTGGCGCTGGACGCCGCGCGGGCGGCGCACGTGGCGCTGTTCCACGCGTGGCAGAACGACCCGCGCGTGTCGCAGGGCTGGGCGCAGACGGGCACGCTGGCGCAGCACGGCGCGTACCTGCGGGCGGCGCAGGCGGACCCGCACCGCGTGGCGATCCTGGCGCGGTTCGACGACACCTTCTTTGCCTACTTTGAGGTGTACTGGGCCAAGGAGGACCG